TCTAAATCAGTGGTACAACTGATTTTTAGCAAGACGTAAAATTCAATGTTAATTAATAATTCTAAAACTAGTAGTGAAAAAATGTTGTATTCAGACATTGCACTAAATTTAGTTACTTTTTCTTCATCATAGTAGTAGATAAACAAGTTTGGGTCAGACACAATATTCAAATTTGAAACATCTTTATTTTCAGTACTGAAAACTTGGTTTAGTCAGACATAATACTAAATTTATGGACTAAAACTTGTTTTTACTACTTATTTTATAAAAAATACGAAAAATAGTATGTGATGTCTGACTAAAACTTGTTTTTACTACTTATTTTGAAAAAATACGAAACATAGGAAATGAAGACTGACTAAAACTTGTTTTTACTACTCATTTTGGAAGAATATAAAAAATTCCATATGACGACTGAGTGAAACTCGATTTTAGTACTTATTTTAGTAAAATATGAGAAATAAGAAATTATATGTTTGACTAAAACTTGTTTTTATTATTTATTTTAGTAAAATACGAAAAAATAAATATGACGACTGACTAAAATTTGTTTTTACTACTTATTTTGGAAAAATGCCAAAAATTGGATATGACGTCTGACTAAAACTTGTTTTCTTCAATTATTTTTAAAATATATAAAAAATTTAATATTTTAGTCATATGGAAAATTGGATATGACGTCTAACTTAAATTTTTTACTACTTATTTTAGTAAAATACGAAAAAATTAATATGACGTATGAGTAAAATTTGTTTTTACTACTTAATTTAAAAAAAAATACAAAATAATGGGTTTTTTCGCATGACAAAAACTTGTTGTTACTACTTAATTTGAAAAAAAGGAAAAATAGGTAATTATGTGTGAGTACAACTTGTTTTTTTCATTTGTTTTGGAAAAATATGAAAAATTGGATATGACGTCTGACTAAAACATGTGTTTACTACTTATTTTAGAAAAATACAAAAAAATACAATATGACTTCTGACTAAAACTGGTTTTTACTACTTAGTTTGAAAAAAACGAGAAATAGAAAATTATGTCTGACTAATACTTGTTTTTACTACTTATTTTAGAAAAATACGAAAAATTGGATATGACGTCTGACTAAAATTTTTTTTTACTATTTATTTGAGTAAAATACGAAAAAATATATATGACGTTTGACTAAAAGTCTAAAACCTGTTTTTACTACTTAATTTGAAAAAAATACAAAAAATGGGTTATTTCGTATGACTAAAAGTTATTGTTACTACTTAATTTGAAAAAAACGAAAAATAGCTAATTATGTCTGAGTACAACTTGCTTTCTTAATTTATTTAGGAAAAATATGAAAAATTGGACATGACGTCTGACTAAAACCTGTGTTTACTACTTTTTTTTGAAAAATACGAAAAATAGTATGTCACGTCTAACTAAAACTTGTTTTTACTACTTATTTTAGAAAAATACGAAACATGGGAAATGAAGTCTGACTAAAACTTGTTTTTACTACTTAATTTGAAAAAACGAGACTGTCCACTTCAGACACATTTCCCTTATCATTGATTGAAAATATAGCATTTTTTTCTCAATGTAAATTCAAATTAAATTCATGACATTTTTTATGAAAATAGTTTTTGCAATAACTTTTTATTTTATGGGTCAATTTCAGAAATATCAAATTTACAGTTTCGTGGATATGAAATTTTATTTTCATTCATGATTTTTTTTTTTTAAAGAGTTTTTTTTGTAATTGCACTCATTGATATGGAACTGAATGTAATGAAGTGTTACGCAACACTCTGTTACACTCAAAAAGTCCGTTATGAAACCAGATCCGTACCAATATTAGCGATAGCATACTATCTGCACCGCAATATTGGAGAATCGATAAAGGCTTTCTAAACCAGACTAGTTTTCCCAGAAATAGCTTGCATTCTTCAAGATAATTTTAAAATATGCTAGAACAAGAGAACTGAGAGTTAAGTCACGAAATCGTTTTAAAAGAATGCTCGCACAAGCCACTTTCTCAAGTTTAAAAGATTTTTAATCTTCTCCATACTTCAAACCACTGAAATTTAAATCGCTTTATTGCTAAATAACTTTTTCCAATCATATTATCAAGTTAAATTTTTTTTAATATGTAATTTTTTTAAACGACATAGCTTAAAAAAAATTAGATATTAAAAAATACTTCATAAAGATATATGTGAATAATTTTAATCGATTGAACAAAAAGAAAAATTGATGTTTATATAAAATACTTTATTCGATAACTTCTTGAATTTGCATTTTTTTCCCCTAGAGGTACATTTTTGAAGTGCATGGCAATAAATATTCTCACAGGTACATAAATTGAACGTTAAGTTTTATGAGAAAGAAAGCTTAGAATGTTTTGTATTAGGTCTCACGCTCGAGCCCTTACGCCCAAAAGGGAAGATTTATTTCACAGGGCTAAGGATTTATTTTAATGCATTCTTTCATTAATTTGTTATTTCCTTCAGATGTGCTTCCCTTAATAGGTAAAATTCTATAGAATTGAAAATTCTCTTTTTATTTGAATTTATGGATCAATCAATGTTAATAACGTCAGTTCTAATTAGACATTACATTTTACTATTATTTTCAAAACTTTCTTTACTTAAGAATAAACTCCATTATAGGTGGATTTGCATGAAAATTACATACTCCATACATGCAACACAATATCCTCAATTAAGTCTTAAAGACTTTTTAATATCTTCATTAGATGAGGGAAATTATTGACTATACCCGCAAACAGTTTCTCGTGAAATAAATGAAAATTCAGCGTATAGTAATATTATATTCTCAATATTGTTGAAATTTTAATTTATTTTGAAGGACCTTTATATTGTTAAAGTCCAGAAATGATCATTTAAAATTTCTCATATTCAATAACTATTAAAAATTAATTAAACCATATAAAAAATTCTATTAAAAGTTTCATTCAATATTTAAATATTTTTTTAATAATGAAATTAGTTATTGTAACTAACTTTTCTCGATTATTATTTTCCAGAATTTTAATAAAAATTTTTCAAAAAAAATCAATTGATTTTTAATAAAACTTTAGGAAATTAAAATTTTTTAAATTTATTTCAAAAAATTTCCATTACTTAACTTGTTTATAAAAATTCAATAATCTTAAGAAAACGGAATGGAAATATATTTAAAAATCTAATTTTTGAGAATTTCAAAAACAATTTTTCGAAAATTTAACACAATAATCAATTTTACTACTGCTTTAGAGAAAAGAAATAAAAATTAAAGATTACGTCTGACCAACAGTTTTAAATTTAAATGTAACGTCTGACTAAAAATTGCTTATACTACTGATGATGAAAAAGTAACCAAATTTAGTGATATGTCTGACTATAACATTTTTTACTACTGGTTTTAGAAAAAGTAGTAAACCTTCAATGTTACGTCTGACTAAAAATTTCTTGTACCACTGATTTAGAAAATACTAAAAATGTGAAATTTTGTCTGACTAATTTTAATTTTTCACTGCTTATTTTGGAAAAGTAGCAATATTTAAATGCTACGTCTGACTAAAAATTGTTTTCACTACTGGTTATGAAAAAGTAATAACCAATTTTTTTACTTTTATCAAGTAAATATTTATTTGAATCAAATAATTTTTTGTTAGTCTATGTCTGACTAAACATAGTTTTTACTACTGACTTAGAAAAACTGACAATAATTCATTGACACGTTTGACTGAAACTTATTTTTATTACTAGTCTATTAAAAAATACCATAAATTTAGTATTCTGTCTGACAGAAGCAAGTTTTTACTACTGATTTAGAAAAAGTACAAAAATTTACATGTTACGTTTGCCTTAATCTTGCTTTCACTACTGATTTAGGACTTTAACTACTAATTTAGAATTTTTCCTACTAATTAAGTTACATTGTCTGACTAGAACTTGCTTTAACTACTGATTTAGAAAAAGTACTACAATTTCAGTATTATGTCCGGCTGAACCTAGTTTTTACTACTGATTCAGAAAAAAAAGAAAAAATAGGTTCATTTGACTGCTTAAACTTTATTATGTCTGAGAATCCTAGTTTTTACTACTGTTTTAGAAAAAGTGATAAGATTAGAATATTACGTCTGACTAAAACTTACTGTAACTACTGGTTTAAAAAAAAAAGAAAAAAGTATATTATTACGTCTGGATTAAACATTCTTTAACTACTTATTGTGGAAAAAAGGGAAAATTTAGTGCTATGTCTGACTAAAAATTAATTTTACTACTGGTTTAAAGAAGGATTATATATGAATTTTTATACGTCTGACTTAATCTACTTTTTTCTACTGATTTATAGAAAGTACAAAAAATAAAATGTTATGTCTGACTTAAAGTTGCTTTCACTACTGTTTCATGAAAAATATAAAATTTTAGGTACCATGTCTGACTGAAATTTGTTATTACTACTGATTAACGAAACTTACAAAGAATTTAGTGTTATGTCTGACTAAAAGTTGATTTCACTACTGGTTTGAAAAAAATGTCTATGAATTTTCTATTACGTCTGACACAAATCTACTTTTCATAACTTATTGTCTGACTAAAACTTGATTTCCCTACTGGTTTGAAAAAAATTTCTATAAATTTTCTATAATGTCTGACACAAATATATTTTTCACAACTTATTTCTATAAAAAGTACAAAAAATAGTCATTTCCACTTTTTTCCCCTACTTTTGCAATGGGAGGTATAATCAATCCATTCTCATTTATCTTACGAATTAATATTTATAGACTCATAATTGCCCCGGAAATATTTTAGATCTTCATTTTGAATTATGAATTTAATTATATTCGCGGTAAGTGTGGTTAAAGGGGTCTTGATCCTTCTGAAAGTGAAAAATTTCAGTTCAATTTGCCGTGAAAATTTGCTTCGGGGTTTAAAATAAAGACTCGTAGATTAATTTCCTGACTGCATTTCCCGGAGGAAATTAATTTCATTATTTTCTTTTTGGTCTTGTTTCAGTGGGATATTACAACAAGGCAGACGGAACTACGAGGAGGCCATTCTCAGCTACCAGAGAGCGATTCACTTTCGGCCTTCTTTAGCCCGTAAGTAACTACCTGCTGGGACGTAGACGATAGGTACAAATCACTGGGGTTTAGACCTTATGGCGTAGAGTTAAAAATGAAAAATCGACTGACAAACCTTTTGCATTTTTATACTAGAATGCATTTTATTCAACAGTGAATATAAAAGTTGAATAAAAGTAGTTTCATTTAAAATTTTAAAAATTCTTTTTTTTTTTATTTTTGTAAAGTAATATTTGCCAATTTTTGTTTTTATTTTTTCAATATTTGAAAATTGATTGATAAATCGAGGTTTGATTGCTTTTTGAAGAATATACAAAAAGGATAATAACAATGTAAGTGAAAAAAAGAATTTTTCAAATTATAGAGGTTTACCTCAGGTAGAATAAAAAGGCGCAAAGTCAAGTAATTCGAGAATCAGCGATTTTTTTCAAATACCGAGTTCCATTTCGATTCCGCTGAATGTTCATTTTCAACTATACTCTTTGATCAGTCGGAAACGTTTCGATGTGTGTGTGTGTGTGTGTCTGCATCATTTAAAGATGCAAAATCCGTTAAATTTATGCATTTCTGAAAAATTCGTAATTTTGCTAAAGTTAAAAATGTTATCAAAAGGGAAAAATTTCCGTCATATAAAAATTGTCGAGGAGATAATAACTATATTAATCTCCGTATTCTTTCATTCATTCTGTTCGCAGTTTGAAGTTAGTTTTTTGTGTATGCTTTTGTTTTTTATTCTTTAAAAAATATTCTTTGACAAATCGAAAATATGCAGGTATTTTTTCATGATTTGTAATAAAACAATATTAGAAATTAGAAAATTAAAAAAAAATTATGATCAACAAATGAAAAATATAACCATTTTGATTGTTATATTTTTTCTATAACAAATTTCGTTTGACTGATCTAAATTATCGTGCAAAATTATTCTCCTTTTTATTTATAAAAAAAAAGTTATAATAATTCAAAAATAAATTATAATAAAACATACATTATAATAATCGTAAGTTTCCTTTCCGTTAGCAAATTATCTGCATTCATTTGTTTGTTTTGAAAATTAAATTTTGTGGGTTAAGTATTGGCATTTTTTATATTTTTTAATGTCAAACTTTTTAATGTGTTTTGATGTGTTTCAATGGTTATGTACATTAAATTATGGACACATACCTGCCGAGTAAATGATAATTATAAAGTTAAAAATTCAATTAAACAACCAATGTATAGAATTAAAATTTTGGGGCTATGGTACGCCTAAAATTTACCAGGCATTTTTTTCTCGTTGTTTCTAAAAACGAATTTCGAATTTTTTTTAATTTGATGCTTTGGTAAAAAATCTAAACTTATCAAAATTTATCAAAAGTTAAAAAATCCGAATTTCTTAAAATTCAACATTTTTTCCTCTCTTTTATGGGATTTAGCTTCATTATTTTTGTGCTCTTGGAAAATACTTTACTTATTAAATAGTCTCGACTCTTTGGTAAAAAATCTAAACTTATCAAAATTTATCAAAAGTTAAAAAATCCGAATTTCTTAAAATTCAACATTTTTTCCTCTCTTTTATGGGATTTAGCTTCATTTTTTTTTGTGCTCTTGGAAAATACTTTACTTATTAAATAGTCTCGACTCTTTGGTAAAAATTCTAAAATTATCAAAATTTATCAAAAATTCAAAAATCCGAATTTCTTAAAATTCAACATTTTTTCCTCTCTTTTATGGAATTTAGCTTCATTATTTTTGTGCTCTTGGAAAATACTTTACTTATTAAATAGTCTCGACTGTTTGGTAAAAATTCTAAAATTATCAAAATTTATCAAAAATTCATAAATCCGAATTTCTTAAAATTCAACATTTTTTCCTCTCTTTTATGGGATTTAGCTTCATTATTTTTGTGCTTTTGGAAAATACTTTACTTATTTAATAGTCTCGACTCTTTGGTAAAAAATCTAAAATTATCCAAAATTTATCAAAAATTCATAAATCCGAATTTCTTAAAATTCAACATTTTTTCCTCTCTTTTATGGGATTTAGCTTCATTATTTTTGTGCTTTTGGAAAATACTTTACTTATTTAATAGTCTCGACTCTTTGGTAAAAAATCTAAAATTATCCAAAATTATCAATAATTCAAAAATCCGAATTTCTTAAAATTCAACATTTTTTCCTCTCTTTTAAGGCATTTAGCTTTATTATTTTTGGGCTCTTCAAAAACACTTTACTTATTTAATAATCTCCACATTTTGGTAAAAAATCTAAAATTTATTATCAAAAATTATCAAAAATTCGAAAAACCTAATTTCTTAAAATTCAACATTTTTTCCTCTCTTTTATGGGATTTAGCTTAATTATTTTTGTGCTCTTGGAAAATACTTTACTTATTAAATAGTCTCGACTCTTTGGTAAAAATTCTAAAATTATCAAAATTTATCAAAAATTCAAAAATCCGGATTTTCTTAAAATTCACTATTTTCTTTCCTATTTTATGGTATTTAGCTTCATCATTTTTGTGCTCTTGGAAAATACTTTACTTATTTAATAGTCTTGACGCTTTGGTAAAAAATCTAAAATTATCAAAAATTCGAAAAAATTCAAAAATCCGAATTTCTTAAAATTCAACATTTTTTCCTCTCTTTTATGGAATTTAGCTTCATTATTTTTGTGCTTTTGGAAAATACTTTACTTATTAAATAGTCTAGACTCTTTGGTAAAAAATCTAAAATTATCAAAATTTATCAAAAATTCAAAAATCCGAATTTCTTAAAATTCAACATTTTTTCCTCTCTTTTAAGGCATTTAGCTTTATTATTTTTGGGCTCTTCAAAAACACTTTACTTATTTAATAATCTCCACATTTTGGTAAAAAATCTAAAATTTATTATCAAAAATTATCAAAAATTCGAAAAACCTAATTTCTTAAAATTCAACATTTTTTCCTCTCTTTTATGGGATTTAGCTTCATTATTTTTGTGCTCTTGGAAAATACTTTACTTATTAAATAGTCTCGACTCTTTGGTAAAAAATCTAAAATTATCAAAATTTATCAAAAATTCAAAAATCCGAATTTCTTAAAATTCAACATTTTTTCCTCTCTTTTATGGGATTTAGCTTCATTATTATTTGAATTTCTATTCAAGAGAAAAAATGGAAAACTAAAAAATTTAGAAACTTTCAAAAATTTCAAGCCTTTTCCATGATTTCCCTGATTTCCAGAATTAGCCTTTTAAAAATTCCATACCATTTCCATGATTTCCATGATTTCCAGATTCTGTAGGAACCCTGCTTTTGTCTGACTTTCTTTTAAATTATCGAATTCAGTGATTTCTGGGGTGAATTTGGTTAAGTTTTAAAATGATTAATTTCAATTTGAATTCGTTTTTTTTAATTTAGAAATTCTGATGTTAATTTAATTCTTTTTTCGTTATGCACGGAAAAAAATATTTAGCTGGATAAACTACAGATTTCACTTTAGTAGCGAAATTTTTCAGTGCTTCAATTAATACTTTCGTTATTCTAGAGAAACTTATCGCTATTTCAAGTAAAACTTTTTTCAGTGTGTAATAATTATTATTTTTTAAAAAAGTATTTAAATTAAAATGGGTTTATAAAATAAGCAATAATGTGGCTAGTTTGTAATAATTAATTTTAAAAATATTAAAAATTTTGTACCTTCTTTATTTTGACCTTATTTTGACCTTCTTTATTGTATTTTAGACTTTTGTACAAAATTTCTGCTCGATTTATTAAATATTTACGTAGAGAAAAGTGATCGAAAAATTTTAGTCACATTTTCTTTATAGAAAAATTGTGGTAAAATATAGTAGAAGAAATAAATTTTCTCCCTCAAGTGTAAAATTAGCGAGGTGAAAAGAAAAATGTACTTGTATATAAGTATTTCCGTTATTTGTAATAGAATGGATCGAATAAACGTCAGTTTGAATGAATGTGGTGTTTAGCGAGATGTTGAGTGCTTTACCAATTGTTCACTATACACTGGTGGATGGAATAACATTTCACAAAGGAATGCGACATATTTAGTTACGGAACTCAGTGATGCCTCCATCAAACATCTACCCACAGAAATGTAACTCCGTGAGTTTCTCGACTGAAAACCCCCTCCTCCCCCCTCTTTTCCGGTTGCAGGAAGCTCAAGGCGAAGGGACCCCCCTTCTACTTGAAGCTCGTCAGCAATAACGTACTACTTGCTGTGTCAAGCTTGAACCACCCAAACACTCTTCATCCCACACACAGCTCCACAAACCCATTCTATCTTCGTCTTTCCTAATTTTCCTCTAATACCATCCTATACCCTATTGAAAGTCACATCGATCAGCTAGCTGGATGCCAAGGCTCCTTTTATTATCAACGATATCGCCTTCAAGGGAAGCTGCCCTTTTAAAAGTGCTCACTGAACCAAACACTATTCACTGATCGATCATATTGCAAAAAGCTTAGGCGAGACACTTAAAGAGAATCAGGTGAAAAGAGTCACTGAAAGTGGATTTTGTTGTTTGACGTCTCTAAAGAAAAGAAGTTGAAAGTCAAATTTTTCTTCTTTTCAATTGCAAAAAAAAAGGGGAAAATTTATACAATTTTCCTCTGTAATATACAGATAGAAACACCTGGCGTGAAATTGAATTTACTAAATTTTTGTTTACATTCTTCTCTTCACTTTACGATTATAAAGAATTTCAAAAATTTTACATCAAAATGAAATAAAACTAGCAAATTCTCTCTCACTTTTTTTAAAAATAAAATTAGCAGTTTTAAAAATAATAGAACTTAAAAATTTCCAGGTATAAAGAAAAATAGGGTAAATTTTTTTATAATTTTTTTATTTATAATAAAACTTCGAGTCTTCGATTTCTTCATATTTTATAATAATTAAAGATGACCAAGTAATAAAATCATTATTTTATATTATAAGAATATTATACTTCTTCAAAATTATTTTCATTATTTCAATTCAATTATTATTTTCATAAATTTTTAACTACAATTTTTCTTTTTATCTGTTATTTTTAATAA